TAAATTTATCATACCCACTAGATGCTAATGTACTTCCATCAGGAGAAATACAAACAGAACTCACATATCCATCATGACCATCCAACTTGTTAAATTCAAGTATTTTTAAGTTATTCCATTTGCAATTAAATAACAAAGCACCATTCAAATTTATCCCACTAATATTTACATTATTAAATTCTGATCCACTTAAATTGCATCTAACAAAATTAGCTCCAACCAAAGAAGTATTTTCTATCTTAATATTTTCCAAATTTTTGTTTCTAAGATCCGCCTTCATTTAAACTAATACGTGTAATGAATTAGACCCACATTATATTAAAGTTTTATCTAAGGTAGTGAGATGAACTAAAAATTACAAAAATTCTATAAACTATTTATCATCCTTTATTCTTTTAATTAGATCTTTTATAGATTCTTAATTTTCTTCTTTGGAATAGTCTTTGTTATTAAAGTCGTGATCTTTTATTTTATCGATGAAATTAATTATTTTTTAAATGTTACTGCTAGCAACTTACAACTTCTTTTAATTATCAACTTGTGTTAAATTTTCTTATTGTTGTAAGACTTATTATTCTAGATGTCTCTTATTTTCATAATCTGAAAGATATTAGATAATGTCAAAAACTTTCTCTTTTTTAAATATTTTTAATATGAAACTAAATATTTGTTCATCTACATCATTAACTTAACCAAAAAGGTTAAATATAGCATCCTTCTATTCAAAAGTGCAATGCATTTTCTATTTTTCTTTTAATATTGAATTTATATTAATTTATCTTTAAGTTTTATACTGTAAATCAATAAAAACAAGTATCTTACGTATTTTTTAAGTTAGAACTTCAGACTTTTTGTAAGAATTTAATGTAATTAATGTAAAAAAAACTACTGAGAACTGAGAATTCAATACAACATTTACGTTACTATATTCTTTAAGAATAAAGAATACTACTTTTTATATGAATAATATAAATTATAAATAATAACTTAATTGAGTTCTCATATTATCATTCATTTTTCTTGTTTATCCTAATTTTAAATATAATAAATAATTTACGTTTTAACTTAAACATTAACAGAAAGGAATAAAATCTTAAGTAAAGCTGGCTCACTCCTTAATACTTGAAAGTAAGTAAATGGAATTAAATTTTAGAAAAAATCCTTCTTTTTTTTTCAAATAGGGGGGGGGCTTTTATTAAAAATTCTTAAATCCATTTTTTTATCATAAGACTTTAGTAAGTAAAATCATAAGTAAAAGAGCCTAAATTTTGCCATTTTAGGAATTATTAGTCTTTTATAATCACATGTGTCATAAAGGGATGATATTTAAAATTACATTTAAAAAACTGAATCTCTTAGCAAAACCATTAAATATAAAAAAGCACAATGATTTTGTTTGATTTGAAGCAAAATATTTAAATTAATCAATAATTAAGGTTACTTTTGTTGGTTTTTTTTATCTAAAAATTGGCAACTTATATGATTATTTATCAAACTATACTTTCTTTATCCTTATAGGTTAAAGTGTTTGCAATTGAGATTCAAGCAAAAATTACGATAGAATCTTTAATTTATGGTATGTAATATCTATTCTTTACTTTATAGATAATTTATTCTATTAAAATTAATATTAGAATATATAAGAATAATTTTTGATATAATTCAACTTCTTTATAAACTAAGATAATATTGACTAAAAAAACTTACAAAATAATAGTTATTTGACTTTTTGACAAAAATATCTAACAAGAATACTTTAGGGTTCATAATGTTTAAAGAACTCTAAAAAGTTAAAAGTAGCCCTAGATAATCTGATAAATTAGTTACTTTCTTATTCTAACTTTGATATTAATAAGATTTCATTTAGGACTATCATAAATTATTTAGAAAAAAACAAAAACTATTATTGGCTTAAAAACTTGATAAATATTGGGTTCTAAAATTTATATAAATTCCTAATATTAAATGAAAATATAATTATTATATTGAATAATCTTTGAGATTTACTTAAAATTCTTTTAAATGGTTAAAATAATATTTTATTTCTTCTTTAATCTTCTCCTTTTGTTTCTTTTGCATATCATTTTCATCAGATAATTTATGATAGAAAGGCTATTAATAAATTTGAAGCCAAAAAAATACAAAACATACCAATGTGAATTCAACCAACCATTATATTAATTTATTAACTCAATTCAAAACTATAACATAAATGTCACATTATGATCAACAGTAAAAATTATCAACATATTAATTTTGAAAGTTCAAAAAACAGATTTCAAGGGCTTAAACTTAATCAAGTAAATAAAAAATAAGAGTGATTGCATTGATATTGATAGCTATATAGATTATGATTTTGGATAGTTGATTAATTTTACTATATTAAATTTAAAGCAAGACATTGTAAATTTAAAAAGGCTTATATTATAAGGCCCAAAATGAAGCTTAAGATCAGATATAAACAAGTTTTTTGATGAAACAAATAGTAATTTCTAATAGGATAAAATATTTACAACTAAATTTGTTCTAGGAGGTGTTATGGTATGGAATAATGCTATATACAGAAAATCATGGAGTATATACAAACTTCACTATGCTATTACAATTATGATTAAAGCATAACTCTTTGTGGAGAGGGAATTATTGTAGGAGATGAAAAGTGTGATGATGGAAATTTAATTAAATTTGATGCTTGCTTTGAATGCTAATTTGAGTGTTAAGTTGAATTTATAGATTGTTAACAAGGAGTATGATATATGCCTATGAAATTTAAGGCTCCTTAAACTCAATATGTATTAACAATCGTTAGTATCTACAATAAAACCACTAACTTAAACAAACCTAAATATTTAATCATAATATGAATTTATAGAACCCATATAAGATCCTGTTCTATAAGTTGTAGTGGAGAGAAATACTATACACAATTAATTTTAATTTACTTGGAGCTCCTTTTATGCTACCCGAAACTACCAAAAATAATTAATTTAGTTTGTTAAATTGAACGATGCAATGATGTATTTGTTAACAGGAAATTTTTTGCAATTAATTCGAATTATTATAAGTCCTTATCTTATATAAGGTTTATGGAATGTTAATTTCCCCGAAATTTATCAGAATTCTTAAACATCTACACCAAAGTCTCATTGCAACCGATGTTATGTTATTTTTAGGTTGAATAGTTATTGAATAAGTTAAATGGAGGTATTAATAAAGTTTGACTGAAAAGCAATTTGAATTAAGATCCTTAAAATATTGTAAATTAACTTTATTTATTCAATTCTAAAAGTTGCTATTTTTCTGTTATAGCATCTATATTAAGTTACTTTATCTTTTGCATATTAGTATCAAAATATTATAAACTATCATTTTCAAACTTGAAAATAAATTCAGAAATAATTTGATAATTATCAAAATGATTCATTTATTTAAAAATAAACTCAAAAGAAATGCTTAATTAAAAAAAATTCAATACTTTTCTAAAGGGATTTTCAAAGTTTATGAAACAGTCATATATTAGTATATGTTCAGTGCTGTATTATCATTTCCAAATCACAATTTTGATTCTCCATTTGAAATTTTCAACAATATCAATGCTATTATTGGATTGTTGTTTATTTTAATGGTTACTTTTTCATTACTTTCAATTACTTAATCTATTATAAAAAGGATAGGATATGGAAGTATTTTTATTTTGAAATACTCATATTTAAATTATATAACCCTTTTGCTAAATAAGTAGCAAGAGTCTAAAAATAAATTTGCTATAGTATCTGAATAATTAACGCAATTAGAAGAATGCACAGGACAAGTACTGACACAACCGTTTTAAAATAGCAATTAATTAGTGTTACATTTTTGACAAGTAGAAAAATCTCCACATACTGCGAAATTTCTTTTTAAATTATCACTATCAATTATAATATTTCTGAATCCCCATATCAAAGTTTCCAAAGTTAATTCTTCTCCTTTTAAAATAAGTAAAGGAGTATTAGAATAAGTTCTAATATTGTCTCTATCCTGATTAAATCATAAGTATTAGCGCAAGCGAGACCCGAACTATAATTTTTTTAATTTTATCAAAAGTAAAATTAGATGAGGTTTTGATTATTTCACCTTATATTTAGTTATCTAATATTATTTATATTTTATTATCAGTCTAAAAGCTCTTAATATAAAATGAAATCTTAAGCCTGATAAATTATAAGGATTGCGAATTTGCAAATTAAAAACTCATTCCTTCACTGTAAAGTAAACTTCCTACAAATTTAGTAGATGAACAATCGAAAATTTAAGATGGATAACTTCTTAAATTTGTAGAATCTTGAACGAATTAAAAAGAAGAAATTGCACTGAAAGTTGTAGATTCAAAATATGAAATGAGTGATTTAATTCTTTTATCTGGAACACATATATTATTTGATCTTTTTATAAAGTAATCTCTTTTTCACATTCTTATCGGCATCAAACACCAGTTTAAGCCAATTAATAAGAAGGGTCCCAAGTACAAGTTCCACCTAATTATAGAGAACCATAAAGAAAATTAGACAGCTTGTAGTACTTGAACAAAGTCCTTCAAGTTGGTATACAATGTTAGACGTAGACGATTAAATTTTAAATGCCAAGAATTTAAATATCCTCTTAAATTTCAATCCCTATTGATATGTATGTTAAACTTTTCTTTATATGATGCAGATGATGAATTTTGGGAAAATAGATTTTCAATACTACCTAAAATGTGTTAAAATCAAAATATTATGTAGTTGAACTATTGCCTGAAATCAGAGTCTACTGCATAATTTTTTTTAAGAATGAGCTTTGGTTAAATTCAATATGTAAACTTTTTTATCAAATGAGCTTCCAGCATTATCAAAAAATATACCAACTATTGTTTCTGATTAGTAACTTTTTATGTCATAAATATTATCTATTCATTAATTAAATTCTTAAGACGTCTACATTTTATTGATTTTATTAGCAAATATGAGATTCATGCCAAGCATCATATTTAAAAAATGAATTATATTTTGAAATATCCCAGTTGTTATTAAAAGTGAAAACGTTCAAAAAACTTGAGTCCACCATTACCCAATTAGCGAGGGCCAGACGAATTGAAATTGATGACACAATCAAAAACATTAATTTTATAATAACGAATGCAAAAAAAATAAAGATTAGAATAAGTAAAATTATTGAATTAAAATGATAATTATAAAAATATCCAAAATTTTTTTTTTACAAATCATCACATTCTAAAAGTATTACTTATTAATAGAATATCTATATAATGTTATTTTATACTTAACAATAGCCTTAGTCTTCATAATTAATTACTTATTTGCAAAAAACTTGTTTTCAATTAGAGTTATTTTGTTAAAAACTATATTCAAAAAATGGAAATAAAAGAGGCCAAATAATATAAATACAAAAATAATTTAAATAAAGGAATTATAGAAATTTTAAAGTTTAAATAAAATTTAGGAAAACAAGTTGATTATAAAGCTATGAGATGATTAAAATAATGGAAATTTAAAGATAAATTAATTACTTTTATTTGTAAACTATATTAAATCTGGTGAAGAGAGAATACTAAAATTATTAAATTACATATACTTTCACTTTGATTAAAAGAAATTAATACTATATTACAATTTAATATTTAAGGTTCTATTCCAAATCATATATACTAAAAGATTATAGCCTTGTTCATATCAAGTAAATACATAACTACCTTTTGTATTCACTAATTATTCAGTTTTAATTTAGAAATTTAATCTCTAACTATCTCCTTACTAATCAACATAATGTAAATAAAGTTTAAAAGATTTTATCCAATGAAAACAACATTTACTGGCATTCTTGTTGAATATCAAATAAACTTCTTGCTATTTAAAGTTCGCTTAACTTAGTTTAGAATAATTAAACAGGTTAAATTTATTTCTCATTTTATTTTTTGTAAAAATATCTATCATTTTTCTTGCTTTTAATCTGTAAAAGTAGTCACATTTTTCTTAAAAAGGTATTTAAAAAATCATTATTTGATAGCTAGCTAGTAAAATAACCTCAAATTAAGCAACATCTAATACCTCCTAATTATTATTAATCACTTAATCAATTTAAATTTCGTACAATCAAGTACTTTATTATATAGTAATAAATGCTTTCTTCCTATTCTCTACTATATATGAAAATAGGATAGTTATTCACTCTTACCACCCCCAACAATCTTCCATATTAGGAACTCTAAATTTATAATTTGTACATAGAATCACAAAGAACATTTTTAATAACGGTACATTAAATCTACACAAAAGGCTTCTTCTAGTCTCAAGCTTAACTGTTGAGATGGTGGAAATCTAATCCGAAAACACCCATCAATATTGTTTACTATCAAATCTACTACTCTTACTCTTTATAAATTCACTATAGCTTAAGCCAGACAAATTAATCTGCAATTTCAATTTTTAGTCCATAGATTTTTCATGTAAAAAATAATTCAAATTTTATTTTTAAGTGGAGAATTATTCTATTATCTCTCTATCATTCTTCTCATTCGAAATTTTTCACTCTAAATTTTTAGTGTTATTAGGTCTAAATTCATTCGATTTTGTTTTATTACAGGAAGTCTCTTAAATAAGAAGAATCCCTAGGGATCTTTATTTAATCATACAGCTTGCATAGGTTGTTTAAAAAGTTTAAAGTTTTTTAAGTGATACCAATCATCTATACTCTTAATTATTTTAATTCCTATAAATTAATATAATTTATCCAAATCAATACTCTTCATTCTAAAGTATATATAAATAAAAACGAGAAGATTTAGCTTAATAATAGATATACACCCTAATTAATGTCTAAAGTTAATCCATTTAAACTATGTTTTATAGTTGCTAAGTCTTATATTTGTTCATTTTTAGGCTTCAGACTGATAATAAATCAAAGAATAGAATGGATAACAAATATGTATTGATGAAAAACTCCTTTAGCCAAATTGTACTTTCCTCTAATTGATAAAGGATAAAAAAGGGAGCAGACATTATATATCTTATGACCACAACTTTACAAGAGATTTAGGCATTTAAAGGTTTTTAATTTATTAGCTTTTTCAGGAAACCATAATGCAATATTTAACCATTTAAATAAACTTTTTGATGAATTAACTTGCGTTAGAAAAGGAGAAGGTATTTTGATAGCACCAACTCTTTTTCTATCCCAGTATCTTAAGAATAATGGGCACCATTTTTGGACCTGATTTATAAGATCTTTTTGATTTCTAAGCATTTAGAAAAGTTTTTATTTTAGTTTCTTGAATGTATTCTAAATCCTAATTTATCAAAGAATTAGATAGTTCAGTAACATTCATTAAAAATTATTGCCTTGATTTTAATCTAATAAACAAATATCAAAATAATCCAAGATTAATAAGAAAGGTGAACTTATTTAAAAAATAGAGTAAATAAGATATTGTAGAAGATATTTGAAATAATAAGAGCATTATAAAGATGATGTGTATACAAATTCAAATAAGTTTTAAAATCTTAAGCCAACTAAAAAATATTGAGAATTTTATAAAATAAATACAAAAGGATGAATATTTTTTTTTAATTCTCTTTTTGAACCCAAATATTTTGTAAATTTAGTATTTATTCTCTATAAATTTAATAAGTATCCTGTTGAAAATCCTGTGCATAAAAACACTTTATATATTTTTTAAATATTATTAGTATAATAAATCCACACATGTTTATGGTAATGGACACAAAAATCATTAATGAGGATAATAAAGAAAGACTTATCAATTTATGGTTCTCAAATATGATATCTATGCTATGTTGAGAAAATATGATTCTGGTGAAGAGGTTAGAGTTCTATTAAAATTATACTTTTGTATAATGAATTTGAAACTTATAAATTAAAATGTTTTTTTGAGAATTTATATTAAACTTGATTTTGGAGAGCATGTATTTAAATGAAGGTAATGAGAGATCTAATTATCGATCAGATTTATTAATTAAGTTATAATAATGGAGGATGGGAATTTGGATTGAATATATTTAAATTTGGGCAACCATGTTCATTATGGAAAATTTGTAAAGTATTTTAATTTATCAATAGCCCATCACAAATAATACTTAAAATATATAATATATCAATTTGAATAATTAGAATATTATCAAGTCCATTAATAATTCTATATGATAACAAATATTATTGGGAATAGGGAAAGTATTTGAAAAACCAATGATAATTAAAAATTTGTACTTCTCTTCAGTCTATCCATTTGCTAATCTTAATTTACAAAATACTCATGATTTTTTAAAACTATAAATTAAAGTTCTAAAATTATGAATTTAATTTTAATTACTCTCATCAATCTTATCGATATAAGAATTCTCATCACGCTTATTTTTATGATAAAATTATTATTCTAAATTAGATTAAAATTTATTTAATATATGTTATTATTGTTTCAATTTAAACTAATCATTTATGGTATTAAATAATTTTATAATGTTACTGCAAAAAAGAATATTATGATAATCAATTTGGAGAATTTTTAACCCAATTTACAAATTTAAATTCTAATCAAAAATTATACTTAATTCTTAATCCTACTTTATCAAAATTAGATTAATTGGATTAATTCTGGCATATAAAATTAATTCTAATTTAGGGATTGCCAATCATAGGAGTTGGCCTATTTGAATATGAGAAGTAGGATGTTTATTATTATTTTACTTAGAAAATACTAAAATATTTAGATAGATAGTGATATACAAATATATGATTGTTATTATTCTTAGGATATGGCTTTAAGATTCTTTTCATTCTATAAAAGTACTTATTATTGGACTCTATAAATAAAATTTAAAACATAATATTATCTATATTTAATGATTATTATTTTATTTAAGGGAACAACTTTTTTAAATTAACAGAGAATAATTTCTGATTTTAAACTCTATTTTTTAAATGAAAAAATTGTGGAATTATCAATTATTTTATGATAACAATAGATAAACCAATTATTTCCTAATATTTTTGATTTTATAAAACTCCTACTTAATTACTAATTCATAAATGTCTAAGTATTTTAATAAAGAAAAGCCTGAAATTAATTACAATATACTATTTTTATAATGACATAATGGTTTTTATAATTGTTGTAATTTAATTAGATAAAATATGATTCCTTTATTCAATAAAAACCAAGCAAAAAATATTAGTTAACTTTAAGAATGCATACTTACTCATTTCAAAATATGAAATAAATAAATATAGAATAGATAACTATTATTATTTTGGGAATGATTGGAGAGATTTAAACTTAAATTGACTGAATTCTTTGCTGTTGAGGCTTGGAGGAAGTTATAAGTTGAATACTACGACAACCATACAATAGTTTTAGAAATGATAATCTATTTAGTTGGGTATGTGATCAAGAGTTCGAATGTATAAAGGAAATAAACTAAGATTATATAGGTATTGGATTAAAGTTTATCATGTACACCAAAGGTTTTAAGATTTTAGAGAA